TCCATCACCAAGGAAAACTCATTAAAATTATTTGGGGACTTCGAAGGGACAGTGGTGAACCGAAGGTGGGATGGTAAGGATGGTCTGCCCAGGTGCAAGGCAGTAAGGACGTCCGTGGTGGTAGAGACGTTTAATGGTAAAACCACCTAAAAATCGTTGTCATGTTCATGATCACCATGTGCCCACAGTTCTGAACAATGCCGTTGACAAAATACTTCTAAAGAGAGAAAAATATTTTGTTGACCTAAGTCCTAAACGATTGGTGAAGTTAGTGTTTTTATTCCATCTACGCACACATATATATGCTTCAATTTAGCACGCTTCTATTGCGTGGCCGTTGTGTGACTTACTCTTTAGTAACACATGTGGACTCAGCCTGTGTCCGTTCGTAGGAGTAAGTTCTTGACAGTTTGGAGTCGTTTGGGCTGCAGTCCCCGTGGCTAAACCATAGACCCGGAAAGGCACCCTGATAGCACAGTCATTATGCAGACGGCAAAACCGAACTGGAGTCACTTGAGTTCTGTCACTCTCTTACTACTTTGGGAGTTCTTGCATTTAAAATTTAAAACCGTGAAACAGAGTGCTGAGTCTTACTGAAAATAATTTTGTCCAATAAAGAAAAGAGGGTCTTAAAAATGAATCCAGTCTGCTGAGGTCCACGCAGTGCACCGCTGCCCGGGACGGCTGCTTTCTTTCACCAGCATGACTTTACGCGCAGAAACTCTGAGAGATGGGGGTATTTCTGGGAGACACGGGAGGCTGTGGACATTTCCAGCAGTTTTGCTAACACCACATTGTGGCAAATACCATTCCAAACATTTTTAAATTATATATATAGACAGATTATTTTGTGCGTTTGTTTCTATGCTTGCTTTAGATTTTAAACGTCTGAGTTAGTTTGCATCATCAATGCCAGTGAAGTGAATAAAGTAAAAAATGGAGCGTTTTTTTTAAAAAAAAGGGCAGAAAAGAAAGTCTTGTGCCTAGGTAGCTGAGGTGCAGTTCTGAAGAGACCTCCCTCCTGGTCGTATCACTGACATAAGTAGAGGTTGGTAGTTTAAAAGAAGTAACTCAGAGTGCCTGGGTGGCTCAGTCGGTTAAGCTTCTGACTTCAGCTCAGGTCATGATCTCGTGGTTTGTGAGTTCGAGCCCCGTGTCGGGCTCTGGACTGACAGCTTGGGGCCTGGAGCATGCTTCGGATTCTGTGTCCCCTGCTCGCTCACGCTCTCTCTCTCTCTCTCTCTCTCTCTCTCTCTCTCTCAAAAATAAATAAACATTTGGGGCGCCTGGGTGGCTCAGTCGGTTGAGCGGCCGACTTTGGCTCAGGTCATGATTTTGCGGTCCGTGAGTTCCAGCCCTGCGTCGGGCTCTGTGCTGACAGCTTGGAGCCTGGAGCCTGTTTCGGATTCTGTGTCTCCCTCTCTCTGACCCTCCCCCATTCCTGCTCTGTCTCTCTCTGTCTCAAAAATAAATAAACGTTAAAAAAAAAATTTTTTTTTTAATAAATAAATAAATAAATAAACATTAAAAAAAATTTTTTTTTAAATAAAGTAACCCACCCGGTTGCCTGTGCCGTTAACCACCTCCTTCCTATACTTCTCTCCACTTGTCACATCAGACTGCTTTTAACTGTTCGTTGACCACCTTCTTCCCTATACTTCGCTCCTCACACCAGACTGCCTTTGACTGTTCACCAGCCTTTCAAAACAACCCGATTGTGTTAAAAACAATGAGTTTCTTTGTAACTCAAATACTATCAGTTTATTTACAGCCCATTGAAACTCTTTCAGTGCTGGAAAATTTTTTAAATGGAAGGAAAGGAAATGAAAAGTAATTTCTAATGTACCTTTCCTGCTGCACGTAAACTCATTATTGTATCCATGTTGCAAAGCAACAAACTATTCATCAGTAGAGCACGCAGTAATTATTATGCTGTGCCTAGGTAATGGAATAGTATGCAGTTACCAAAATGTGAGGCTGCTCACGTTTTTAAATGGCTAGTCTTTAAAACTGATTATTTCCGTATCAGTACTGTATGAGTTCTAAGATGTAGCTGTGTATTTTTTGTGTGTTTAGTTTTTAAAGTTTATTTATTTTGGGAGAGAGAGAGCGTGGAGATGGGGCAGAGAGAGAGGGAGAGAGGATCCCAAGGAGGCTCTACACTGTCAGCACCGAGCCTGACATGGGGCTTGAACTCATGAACCGTGAGATCACGACCTGAGCCGAAATCAAGAGTCGAACGCTTAGCCAACTCAGCCACCCAGGCATCCCAACTATATATATGTATATATATATTTTAAAGCAAGGTTTGAAGAGTGCCACTCTTTGTGCAAAAAAGAGGGGAGGTGTGTGCTTGCTTATCTACGTGCTAACTCTCTCCAAAAAGACGCTTGGAAAACACTGATCACCAGTGGAGAGATTGGCAAGTTCAGGGATAGAAGTAAAATGTACACTCTTTTTCCAGTTTGATTTATTTTCTTTCTTTTCTTTTTTTTTTTTTTTTTTTTTTTTTTTTTTTTTTTTTTACTTACCACATATATGTTTTTACTTTTTTCAGAAAAATACTAAAACCTGTTGGCACAAACTATACCATGACTGTGAGAGCATAAATCCCACCACTGAACCATACCTGAGCCACTTCTCAGAGCCTCATGTCCTCAGCTGGTGGCAGAACAAGGCAGTGGTTCCTGCGGGCCCACGTGCACGCCACATGGCAGGTAGAAAGCTAGATATAATTCTGGGCTCCCGCATGCCTGAGACTCGTTGGTAACGTTCTCCTCTGGAGGCTGGAGCTCAGTAGACCCAGAGAGCTTGGGCATAGATGTCAGTCAGCGTCAGACATCATCGTTTCTTGCTAACCTGCTCTTTTCGCGGAGTCGAGCGTCAAACCTGCAAAAAACCTGAAAATGTACACTTGGGTATTTTTATTTATTTACAATCTGTGCACCATATAATTCCAAATGGCAGAATGTGAGGGAGTGTTACTAAATTTATGGGTAATACAAACCTGGACAAGTACAAGTAAAAGCAGATTGGAATCCAGTAAAAGGAGCGATACGCTGGTTGTTAGTTGCTATTAGGAATACCTGGGACAGGTAATTACTGTCGTTGAGCCCCGAATTTAGCTTTGAATTTCTTGGCATGTAAGAAAAAAGGGGGAATTTAAAGCATATGGTTCTTTTTATTTGAGGCCAGGAAATCTGCAGTTTTGCCTAAGGAAAGGGGCACTGTCTTGGTATTCAATTCAAATGCAGATCCTCATTAAAAATATATATAGGATGACTCAGGTCTTCCTAGTGGTTACTGCCTGTCAGGGTTTGAGAATGAGCTGGTCAGAATGTGCCAGACCTCACAAACTGTGGTCTCATTTATGAGTCCGGTCCACCTATCTCTCTCTAGCCCCCACATTGGTGCAGATACCGTCCCTTGTCCGGACCACTTTGACAGTTTTCTGACCTGTCTCTGCCTGTGCTCTCACTTTTCCAGAGTCGTCTCCATGCTGTGTTCGGGGTGCCTTTTAGGAACTCCGATCCAGCCATAACTTGTCACTGTGCCCGTCCTGGGCACTTACAACTCCTGCATCCCTTGGTTTTAGGATCTAAGACCTAAACCCTCCTGCCTCTCTTGCCACCCTCTCTCATCCCAGCCTTTTCGTGGCCTTGTTTCTGGTTCTGTGCACCTTGTCCACACTCTCTCAGGACACATTCACCCGCCTACGTCGGCTCTCCTACCGTCTTTGGATCTGAGCTGCATCATCCTCAGAAGCTTCCCTGACCCCAAAGTTGGTTCTCATGGCCCTCGATGCCTCTTTCAGGAGTGCTCATCCCTAGGGTGATGTCCTCCCTACTAAATTGTGAGCCCGTGGCAGCAGGGACTGGCCCAGCTCGTGCTTACTCTGATCCCCAGCTCCCCACCCAGTGCCTGGTGTGCCATAGCAGATCACAGGGTACCGGAGGGGAGGGAGCCGTCAATCAGTGGCCCGGCCACTGCAGCGGCCTCGCAGCCTCCCTCCACAGTGGACACCAGACTGCACTGAGACGTTGATCCCTGAAACACAGCTCGGTTCACAGCACCTTCTTGTGCCAGAGCTTTCAAAGGGTCCCCATTTCCTGCAGCATGCAATCCACACCCCTTTTTTTAGCCCTCCATGGCCTGGGTCCTGGTTGCGTTTTTCCAAACTCACTGCTCCTGGTGGCCTCAGTCCTTAACACTGCAGCTGGAAAGAGGCGCCCTAGGCTGCTTCTACCCCCACTGTCCCCTCAACCCATCTCTGCATGTTCACTTCGTAACCACCCCGTAAATAATACCCCTGGTTGAAAGTAATGCCTTCCCTTGTCTGAACTCTGAGCATCTTTGACGTGGTAGTATTTCTATGTCCCTTGTAGCTCTTTAAAGACATACCTCTCACTTGTGGTCCTGTATAGTGTCTAACATAAACCTCACACAGTAGGTAATCCTACGATACCTTAAATGAGTGGGAATTACCAATGACTTGGCATCTTTGCAAGCCAGTCTTGAATAGGAACCATTTCCCTCCTGGATGCTGTCATTTGTAATGAAGGTTCTGTTTTTGTACGTATAACAAGCAGCTAGCCAGCTGCAGATCTCCTGTTCTTTTAAATCTGTCTCCAGATCAGTGAATGTGAACCCAAGGCATACACTGCTTTCTGCACATATTTCAGAGACCTCCTGGATCCTTTATAACAAGGATAGAGTATTATTCTATACTGGACGCAAGAAAGCAAACTGAATAGATGCGTGTACAATCATCATTTCACAGGAAGATTGCTGGAGTTAGTGTTCTCTTCAAAAAATGACCAGTGGGGTTGTAGACAACTCTTGTTTAGATCACATCACTCATCACCTCCCTCACCCCCCCCACCCCCGCCCTCTGCTCGGCCAGAAGGATTGGAGATCTTCCCCCCGCCCCCCCGTCACTGCTCATTGCCGTGACTCCTGTAAAGAGAAAATAACCCCCACCTCCTTTTCCTTTCCAACAGGCCGACCTAAACTGCAATATTCAGGATGACGCTGGGGCCTTTTATGGTGTCACCAGTCAGTATGAGAGTTCTGAAAATATGACAGTCACCTGTTCCACCAAAGTGTGCTCCTTTGGGAAGCAAGTAGTAGAAAAAGTAGAGGTAAGTGGGCATCTGCAGACCGGAGCCTTCATTCGGGGGCACCCTGCTTCCTCCCTTTCAGCTTTCACCGGGGCAGAGAGTTTTACTTTTCTGGTGTCTCCTCCTTCTCCCCCTTTCTCTCTCACCTCTTTTCCCTGTCACTTCTAAAAAGACACAGCGATTTGCAAGCAAGTGGAAGAAGCCCCCACACCACCCCTCCCCGACTGCAGGGGCCCTGCCTTGCGTGGCCAGCAGTGTTCGGTGCCCTGGTGTGGAAGCTGCTACAGACAGGCCCCGCCCCTAGGTCCGAGGGCACTTCCGGGCGTTGTAAATAGCACCTGCCTTCTAAAACCCGGACACCTCAAGCCTGGTGCGGGTGCTTCTGCCCCTTCTACTCCTTTCATTGTTCCGGACAGATTCCAGCGCGAACTGGGGTCGAATACCTATTCATAGTTTTCCTGTTGCATACCTCCCTCCCTTTCAAAAAACGTGTGTTCTTTTCAGCAGGGTGGGTTGCTTTGTGTGAATGTTTGCGGTTGACATTCCATGTAAAGCTGTATCTTCCGACGTCTTCTGCCCGTTAACCCGGTCCACCCGTCATGGCGGTCCTGGAGCTCGCAGGCCCCAGGGCCCAGCCTGACTGTGCCAGACTTGGTGCCGAGGCGGGAGAGAGAGGATGCCCTGGGCGGGAGGAGAGGTTTGAAGACTTTGGGCCGAACGATGAGGATCTGGGCTGCTGCACGGCCTTTGGCTTCCTGAGCACAGGAGGGGCATGCTGTGGATGGTGTTGAGGAGGTTACACTGGCCAGAGTGGATAGAAGGGAGTTGACTAGATGGTCGATGTCAGCTGAGGCGTCCTGAGCTTCATGAACATGGCAGCAGTGGAAATCCAGTAAAACATTTTTGAATGGAACTTAGAGACTCACCAGATATTAAATACTAATGAGGAGGAAGAACCAAAGGTCACACATTTTGTGGTTGCAAGGGCCGCGCTGCCATGAGCAGAGATTAGAAAGTAAGGTATTCAAAAGCAAGTAGTCAGGGGATGACTCTAGATGCAAGACTGGAATTTGGAAGACTCAGAATACCAGTTGGGAATCCTAAGCATTAAGGACAATTAAAGCTATGGGAATGGAGGGCTTGGTGCAGGGAGGGCGTGGGAGCAGTAGCCAGCCCCGGGGTGAGTGGAAGGGACACACCAGCAGAGGAGCAGAGGACAAAAATGGCTGAAGGAGGAGGGGAACCAGCCCAACGCATGTCTGGGAAGCCCAAGGAGAGGGGAGGTGAGAAGGTGACCGACCGTGTAATGAGACAGGTCTGGGAGGCCTACAGCCAGATGACCTCCCATCTCCTCCAAGCAAGAGGAAGCACCATTACTGGTCAGTGGTTGGGAACGTGGAATGTTCGTGGGCAGCATTGCTGCTGAATAGCCGAATTGTCAGGGCTCATCTCTAGATGGACTACCTGCCCGGACAAGATGAACCAGACAAGTTACTCTGTTTCCCAGATTCCAAACTCATACCCAAAGCTGTATATAAAGTTCAGGGAGCAGGAAAAGGTTGCCTTTGACTGAAATCCCAGGAATTTTCATGAAGAACGTAGCGTGAGTGCTGGTGGAGTTTTGTAATTAAGCTTTTAATCCATTTCGAATGTATTTCCGCATTTGGTGTGAGATGGGCGTCCGCTTCTGTTGTCTTCCAAATACACAGACGTTTGTGTCAAAACTGTTGATTGGGGCGCCTGGGTGGCTCAGTCGGTTGTGGCGACTTCAGCAGGTCGTCTCACACTTGGTCTTGAGACTCCTAGCCCGTCAGAAGCTCTGATGGACAGCTCAGAACCTGGAGCCTGCTTCAGATTCTGTGTCTCCCCCTCTCTCTGCCCCTCCCCTGCTCATGCTCTGTCTCTCTTTGTCTCAAAAATTAAAAAAAAAAAAAAAAAACATTAAAAAAGATTTTTTTTAAGATAAAATAAAACCCGTTTATTAAACGATTCATCCTTTTCCCACTGAGTAGATCTTAGATGTACCCCTATTAAGGTCCTGCGTATCCTGGGAGCCATTCCTGGAGTCTGTTTGATTCCACCCTGTTTATCTCTCCTTGTCCCCCTCTACCATGTTGATTTGATTACACGGGCTTTATAGTACATTCTTACATCTGCTAAGGCAAGTTGATCTTGCTTTTCTTCTTATCCATATATTTTGTAGGCCAATAACCAGCACTTATTCTTCCAAATAATTAGATCACTTTAAAAAAAAGTAAAGAAAGCCAAAAACCTTTTGATCAATGTAATTATAATCGTACTGGTTTTATATGTCATGTGGGGATAAACTGATACATTGCCAGTACTAAGTCTTTCCAGTGAAGAATGTATTTGCAGGTCCATTTACTTATCTTAATAAGATTTTGTAGTTTTTACATCTACGTTAATTTATATTAATTTGTTAATGCGATTTCCTGTTTCTAGATTTTAATTACCAGAAGAGAGACAAGTTCTTGGTTTTAGCAAAAATATGTCCTATCTGGCCATCTTGCCATATTCCCTTATTTATCTGTACTGGGTCTTGCCCCAAGGTTCTTGGATTTTCTACGTATGTGGTCCTAGCAGCAGCAAAAAGAGCGGCTTTATTTTATTTCTTCTTTTCCAATGTTTATGCCACTTTTCTGTTGCTATTATTTTCTCGCTTTCTTTCCATTTTCTAAAACCTCCAGCACATCTGTGAAAAGAAATAGGATGGGGAGTATCCCTGTATAGTTAGTTACTGCTGCTCATAGAGATGGACTTGGTGTTTGGCCATTTAGGGTTATACTTACTGTTGGATTTTATAAATGGTCTTTATATTTAAGTGCTTTCTTTGTATTCTTGTCATACTGAGGGTTTTTATTAGTAACAGCTGCAATATTTTACCAAATGCCTGTTCAGCAACTCTTACTATCATTTTCTCCCATTCGTGGACATCACGAGTTAATGCATGTCCTGCGTTTGAGCCACCACAGCATTCCTGAACAAAGTCCTACTTTGGACGCACTGATGTGTTCCGTTTGCTATTTTACGTTAAGATTTTTGCATCTCATAAGTGATAATCACCTTTCCTTTTTATAGTCTCTCCGTGTCCACCGATCTCCTAAAAAGAATTGGGACACCTGGTCTGATGTAGTTTCCATAACAATGAAAACAGTTGTTCCTTAAGAGTTCCATAAAACTCAGCCATCACACCAGGTGGTCTTTATGCCTTTTTCAGGGGTTCATCTCTAAACAAGTTTCTAGGCATTTCCACGGTAATTGAGCTATTGGAGTTTCCTATTTTTTGGTTCAGTATTAGTAGTTTAAGTTTTGCTGGGAAAGCATCCTCTCCTCTACGGCTTTTTGCCTTACAGCGTTATGTGAAGTAACCTTTTACAAATCTCCCAATCTCTACTGTCATTGTGGTTTCGTCTCTTTTCTTCCTTAACCTTGTGAAGGCTTTATTTTATTTTGGCTTTTTAAGAACCAGTTTTTTAAAATTTATTCTGTCTCCATTTTTTATTTCTGTTAACATAGATTTGAGCTTTTATCTTTATTAATTTCCTATTCTGGGTTTTCTTTGGTTTCTTTGTGGTTTGGGTTTACTTTTGTGGGTTTTTTTTTTTAATCGAAGATGTGGTTTAGTTCTGTAATTTTTCGTCTTTAATGATGAACTCATGAAGCTACATCATTAAGTGTCCTCCAAGTATAGCTTCATCGGGTCCCATAAGTTTTGATGTAAAGGATTTTCCTTTTCATTATTCTTGAGATAGTTTGTAATTTCCTTTTTAATTCCTCTTTGATCCAAGGCTATCTAGGGGTGTGTTTCTTATTTCTGAGTGCTTCAGTGGGAACTTCAATACCAGTATTTTTTTTTTTCTTTCCTTTTTTATTAAAGACATAAATAACTCACAGTCAGGAGCTCATGATCAGTGGAAAGTAGTTTTTCCCAAGGTAGAGAAGTTAGCTGCATTGGTTGTTGGCTGTGAGGCCTTTATAACAGTGAAGGAGGATTTTCTCTGGGCTCTTTGAAGAATTGTCATTGGCTGGGCCCGCTCTCCCAGATTTCCAGGTAGAAAATCACTAAGTAGGTGATTATATTTCTTTCCAGCCTTTGCTTTCTTTTCTTTCTGACCTGTACAACCCTTCTTTAAAGGTATTCTGTTTACACATTTTGTTTTTTTAATTTCCAGAAAAATCCTGGATTTCGGAGTATGGCATTCAGTTTGGAAATAGGATTTTTTTTTTTAATTAAGTAAACTACATAAATAGTACAGCATCTAGCGGATGATTCAGATTGAAAAGGAAAAATGCTTTTGCAGGCAGCAATAGCTTTTTTCATGTATCTTGAAGTCAGAAGTGTAAAAGTGCTCAACTCCTTTTTCCCTCACAGACGGAGTATGCGAGGTTTGAGAATGGCCGATTTGTGTACCGGATAAACCGCTCCCCGATGTGTGAATACATGATTAACTTCATCCACAAGCTCAAACACTTACCAGAGAAATATATGATGAACAGTGTTTTGGAAAACTTCACAATTTTATTGGTAACTGTTTTGCCTCTTTCCTCTTGGGGCAGACCCAGCTGGTGGGGAAAGACAGCAAGGTGGCCGGGCCAGGGGAGGTGACCAGGCTGTTGATCAATTACCATTTGAATCCACAGCATCCAGGGCAAGCATGGGCTCAGGTCTATAGAAGAGACGGGGTTTCATTGGGCTGGGCTAAGCTTTTCGAAGCTTGGGAAAACTAGAATTCAAATGGGTAGTAAAAACTATGGTCCCTACATTCTAAACTCCAGCTGCACATTAGAAAGATGTGGAGAACTTTTAAAATACTTAAAAACTTGTAAAAGCCTGACACCAAGGCTGCGTCCTAGATCAGTTAAATCAGGATCTCTGAGAATAGAACCCAGGCATGAATATTTTTTATAGTTACCTGGGTAATACCAGTGTCAGCCAAGTGCGAATCCTAGAAGCATTGTCTGCAAATCTCAAATGAGGCAAAAACTATAAAGTCCATGGGTTTGTCCTTCAAATACACCTTGACTCATTTCATGAAGGATTGCAAGGCTTTAAAAGAGATAACATACCTTAAGACAGCAAAACGTAAACCCTCAGTACCACAAGAAATAGAAAAGTAAAATAGAATGTCATGACCAGGAAGAGGGCAGAGGAAGTATTCTCCATAGGCTGAAAAGTATGGTCAAAACGTGGGCAGCTAAAAGGGGAAGTGAAAAGAGTGGTGCTCAGGGTCCACGATGGGAGAAGTTTCTGGTTCCCCTGGGCAGTGCTGGGGAGTGGGGGAGGGTCCCCTCAGATTTAACTTTAAAACAAATTTCCCATGGGGGCTTCATTTGGAGACTTGGGAAGGTTAAGAACAGTGTCGTCCTCAAAAATCTGCCTATAAAATATGCAGCAATGGGTTTCATAATGCTCATTTTTGAAAAAGTTAGCATTCCTTGATTTAACTGAAGGAAAAATGCCAAAACAGAACTTGGAAACAGTTGTGCTAAAAGGGGGCAGCAAGACAATATTGTGGTCAAATATCCAGCCCTCTGAAGGCCTGCTTTGTTGCTCTGTTTCTAGGATGAAAAACTGGAATACTTAGGGCAGAAGTTGTTTACCAGGAGTTTTTGGATCCTTTGAAACCAGGGTTCTCAGTCAATGGTGTGCTACTTTAAGGGAAAAAAAAAAAAAAAAAAGAAGGCGGCTGTTCCCCAACCTTCCCCTAAACCCTTGATTTATCAGCTTTTGCCCATTTCCATGGTCAGTTTCAGAGTACCAGTGGTTGTCCAGTTCATGAACTTCCTTAATATTCAACTTTCAGAAGCCAGTAGGAACCAGCTTCTTCACACCAAATGTAAGAACTGAATAAATAAAGGTTTAGAAATTAAAATCTTCTGCATATCAGATTCAGCCAGGAAGCTTTTAAAAATTCTGGGGCCTGGCCCCCATCTCAGATAAATAAAATCAGAATCCCTGGAGGTGGGGCCCAGCATCCTGGTTTTGTTTCATTTTTACAGCTTCCCAGGTGTTGAGACCCACTATAGGGGATGGCTAAGTGAGCCACAGAGAGCCTCAAGAGTTCACAGACACGTGATCGGCATACAATTGGCGGACAGATCATTTGGCATGTAATTTTCATTTATTCCTGAGAGGGAATCTCTGTGGATTCTCAGGCGTGTCCGTGAGAAACTAGCAACCTGAGGGAGAGTTTGGAAAGCCTGTTCTTTAATAACTGTTATTTTCTAGTATCGTGTTCCCTGATGGTCTTTAGCGAAAACTGAGCAGTTCACGGTTTGGGCTGTTGGCAGGCACCTGTCATATAGGTGCTTCCTGTTGCTATTTAAGAACAGGTGACTTTTGTGCTCAGGTGAGCAAAAGGTGAGTGTGGCACCTTGGGGTGGACATTGAATAGCCTCACGAATTAACCCAAACTCTCTGAGTGAATGGGCCAGCCCACCTCTCTTGGAAGCAGCCTTAGGCATTCTTACAAACCAGTTCTAAGGTCTGTTCCAGCATGTTAAGGAATATGTCCTCATTGCCTATAACCCTACCTCACAGAGCCTAGCTTGGGAAAAATCAGGCCCAGAAGAAATTAAAAGCATCTGTTGGCCACCAAACTCATGAATACTAGTAATACTCTCAGAACACGTGACTTCCAGCAGCTTAGATATTCAGAAAACACACCACATTATGTTAATTTCCAAAATGTTATCATTAAACCACTAAATAAATCCTTTTGCTACGAAGAACTAGGAGCTCTCAATAAATGTCTGCCAGAAATAATATTTTAGCATTTAGAAAAGCTGAAATTAAACCAGTATGCCTGGATTATGAGAGTCACATCCTCTCCTTGATGAATAAAGGAGAAATAGTACTTCTGAGCTCTTCCTCCCAGGAAGGGTGTAGGAATACGGCCAGGCTGGCAGCTGCTGGACACAGTGGCAGGTATTTTACCAGGTATTGGATACAAAGCCTCTGTCGGCAAGATCAGTCCCAGACCTTACTGGCTGGTGAGCTAGACTCTGATTTCATCAGGATGATGGAGAAATTGAGGTGAACCCATAAAGGGAAGGCCTTAGTGACAGTATCCAGACTGGGGAAGACAGTAGCTGAATCATAGGCCAAGCGTTCTTGTCCTCTTTGGAGGTATATTCAGACATACATACACGTTGCTAGGGACATTTTTTTCTTTCCTCCTTTTGAATCTCAATCATCAAGTCTAAATAGGACACATTGGGGGTACCTAGCTGGTTCAGTTGGTAGTGCATCTGACTCTTGATCTCAGGGTTGTGAGTTTAAGCCCGACGTCAGGCCTGGAGCCTACTTTAAAAACAAACAAACAAACAAAAAAACAAATAGGACATTTTCTTTCCCAGAAAGTTTGCGAGAAGGTAAGGTAAATCATAGAGGTTCCAGGCACAGTGCTGAATCTTTTGTAGATGTCGTATTATGAAATTCTCGCCGCAGAACTATAAGGTCATATTTATTCCCATTTTATGGATAAGGAATGTTAGGTCTCTCTGAGGTCACAGAGCTAAGGACACACATAAATTAAGACTTAAAATGATAGAAAAGACACTTTGCAGGTTATTTCATGATCCTGGAGTCTGAAAACGGGGGTTTAAGACCCAACTCTACTTTATGATCTTGGTTTGAGTCAGTTATTTAAAGTCTCTAAACAGTTTCCTCCTCCGTTTACAAACAAAATGCTCACATCTGTATGCTTCACCTCAAAGGTCACCGAGAATATTTTCATTTGTTCAGCTAAACTATGGAGAGATTGTACTAGCTGCCAGAATACAGCGCAAATATAACACAGTCCCTTTCCGATAGTAAATCCTGGCCTGGTAGCGGAAAGAGACGGTTACAATACCTTTGTACGTTACACGGCTGCAGTATCCTTGAGAAACAGACACCTGGACATACAGAGTAGTGTAACTACCTGGGCAGTTACCTGTAGTTGGAATGAGGTGGGAGAATTCCCAGAGATGTTAAAAGATGAGGTTTAAGCTGCCTTGATGGATAAACAGACATTTTGCAGATTTACCAAGCAAAGGGCTTTTCGGCGGGTGCATACTTAAGCGTTAGATGCTGGGATGTGACCTAGATGGGGTGGGACAGCCGTCCTGGAGGCTCCTGAGAGAGGCAGGGGTTCCTCAAGCGATCCATCACAAAATGGATGTAAACCAAACAGTGGCTGCTGGCTGGCAGAGGGAGGTACGTGGTGCCACGGGAGCACATGACGGGAGCATTTGCCTGGTCAGGGAGGCTTCCCGAAGGAAGAAACCGTTGAGGCATACCCGCCGGGTGACTAGGCGGAGAGGGCGGAGAAGGGCACTGCAGGTGTGCAGGCAAGTGGAAGGACTGGAAATGGGGGGTGTGGCTGGCGTGGGGAGAGGGAGGAGCCCAGGGAGCCAGCCAGGTAGGAACAGCCACGGGAACAGCCAGACTGAGCGGGGTCTGCTCAGCCATCGGAGTTTTTAAGCAAGAGTGTGTTGTTGTCAGATTTATATTACTTACAGGGGTTTTGTGGCTGCTGTGTGCCCCTGGGAATGTGTGAGCCAGGGTAGCTCCTGGTAGGGGAGTCTGGGTGCTTGGCTGGTCCCCTGGGCTGTGGCGGTGGAGACCGGGATGATTCAAGAGCTGTTCAGGAGGTAAACGCAGGCAGGACATGGCATTTCTTTGGACATGGGAAGAGAGGGAGAGAGGTTTCCAGGATAAGAGGTCTGCATACTTGGAGTCTGGTCTGTGAAGGAAGAGGCAGGAAATAAGACCAGGAAAGCAGGTGGGTACCAATATTGAAAAAAATCTTTATTCCCCAGAAACAATAAATGTAGATAATCTATTATTGTATCAATTCATTTGTCTAGAGCAGCATCGCTTAATGATTAGAAAAAAAGGTCTTCAAAATCAGATCTGGGTTTCTTAGTTGACAGTTGTCTAACCTTAATTTTTTTTCAAACTATCAAGTTTTTTGAGAGAGAGAGAGTGCAAGTGTGGGAGGGCCAAAGGGAGGGGGACAGAGGACCCAAAGCAGGCTCTATGCTAACAGCAGAGAGCCCGATGTGGGGCTCGAACTCATGACCGCAAGTTCATGACCTGAGCCAAAGTCAGACACTCAACTGACTGAGCCACCCAGGTGCCCCGACAGTTGTATAACCTTAAATCACCTAACTCCCCTGCCTCCCTCTCTGTCAGAGGGGAGCTAATAGGGCACCTACTCATGGAGTTATTGTAATATTACATGAGACGGATGTGTATGAAGCATTTAATACTGAGTAGATGTATACTAAGCAGTTACTATATGTTGGCTATTATGTGGATTGTCATTCATTCAGCAAATATTTATTAAATGGCTGTTGTGTGCCAGACTAGTTATTAGGCAACATGGTCCCTGTTCTTCAGGAATTTATAACCCATTGAATGACATGGGCATTAAAAAAAAAAATCTTACAAATCTGTGTGTACTTACAGACAGTACTGTGTGCTCTGATGGGGAATTACAAGTTTGTGAGACTTTAGTCATCCGTCAGAGACCATACCCTTGGATACCGAGAAGGCAAGGGAAACAACATGGGTGGAGCAGCCTGACAGAGCTGGGAGTGGGGCCCCCGATGCACTGGACTAGGCCCTCAGACTCCAAGTGTTTAAAGACACGGGGCTTTTAGAAAGTCCCTTGTGAGAATGGCTCTGAGAAGTAGGGAGGGGCCACAGGGACCTGGGTCAGATCCGGTCACTCAAGATAGGAACGCAGGCTGAGACCATGGGCAAGAAGAACAGAGAGCTGGAGTCCAGTGACTTCAACCAGGAGGGGAAGTAGATGATGAGTATTGAACTAGATGAGTATTTCAAGTACATTTCGAAAGCTAAAGCCTATATGAATGAAAAATGAAAAGAAAGATCCTGTGACAAAATTCTCCCACCATTCCTTACTCAGCACATATTTTACTGAGTCCTAGCACTGCTGGTTGGTGAGCAGGGCATTCGTGGGGCTCATGTCTATCATTGGCCCTTGTGAAACCAACCTTGTAAAAGTTTAGGTACAAGATGGGAGGCGTTTCCTAGGGTAAATGACCCGTCTTGTGGGACAGAATGCTAGAAAATTGTCTTCGTTGTCAAGAAATTGACCCTCCCCCAAAACCCACACTAATTCTTGTGGTCTCTTCATGGACCCAGATAATGGGTGAGGCCCTGTCCGGAAGGTATTTCTTACACATGGTACCTAAGTTCACATAGGATTCAAGTCAGACCCAGAATATCCTCAGTTTGTTGGAGAGGGCAGAATCAGGCCAGAACACCTCCAACAGTCTACCTGCTGGACTTGAGACTGTTCCTCTCCAAGCAAAGCCTAGTTGTCGTGGTACAGATGGAGTATGTCTTCATCCATTTGAGTTTTTCTATCTGTATGTGTGTGTGTATGTGTGTGTGTGTGTGTGTGTGTATATATATATATATATATATATGCTTTTTTTTTTAACAGGTGGTAACAAACAGGGATACACAAGAAACTCTTCTCTGCATGGCCTGTGTATTTGAAGTTTCAAATAGTGAACATGGAGCACAACATCATATTTACAGGCTTGTAAAAGACTGAACATGGTTATTTATATATATAGACATCTGTATATACACACACACACACACACGCACACACACACACACACACATATGTGCGCACACACACTCTCTCTCCATTACTGAATGACTGACTGTAAACCTCACCACACAGGGGGGTGCCCTGGCCCCGAGGTCACCCTGACTTTTTCTAAATCCTGTTTGAGTGAAGTCATTTTTCATGTGTTCATACTATCATTGTAGCTGTGAAGTTCTGGTACAGTTGTAAAAAGAGAAATCGAGTTGTTTCTATGTGTCCTTCAGATCCACAGCCCACAATTTTTTGGGAAGGATGAACCTTAAGAACCCGGGTCTCAGTCTGCAGAGACCTGTTTCTAATTGTGGTAGAAAAAATTTGAGACAGAGCATTTGCCATGGGACATTTACAGCCTTTATACAAATGTATTTAGTTCTTTTTTTTTTTCCAACATAAAATTCTTGTTTTAAGATACAAGTAAAATTAATCTTTAAATATAAATGTAAATTAGTACACAAAACTAAGAATCTTTAGACTTATCTTTGTAACTAATTAGGGTGGAAGTTATGAAAGAATGTAATTCACTAAATTATTTTTTAAATGAAACTTTTCTTTCTTTTTTGAAACCAAATGTTAAAATATAGCCTTAAATGCTTGGTAGAAATATTCTAATGAGACAAATTTGTACTTTTTTTTCCTCAAGGTTAAAACTAATCTCTTAATCCATTAAACTCTTGAACAGGTATTACAAAGGAAGAAAACTTCACCCCTTATCCTTAACATATATAGTATATTTAAGAAATATAAAATTGTATTGTACTAATGTGATGATTATTTAATGAAAAAAAAGATGGCTCTTTTTGCAATAAGTAGATAAATACTGAAAATCTAAACGTACAATGTTTATAGTCTTGTGTGTGCAGTTATATTTTATATGGACAACCAAATTTTTTATAAAGATGAGTAAATGTTTGAACCACTGAAATTTAATAACAAAAATTTAAAATTGGCACGAATACTGCACTGTGAGCTGCAAAATCTAGAAAATCCTGTGGCTGGGAGAAATTTCATCAACCAAACAAGTAAAAGGCTCATCAGTTTTAGCATCTCTGCTCCCCAGAAAACTTGCAAGCATCCTCACCAGCCTGTGGATAAATTATTTCTGGTGAACCAACATGCATATTAACCTGCTATAACTATATGTGTATGTGTGTGTTTGTGTATGCCTCTATACACATATACATGTGTAGTTATTCAACACATATTTATTGAACATTTAGTGTCACTCAATTTGCTAGGTGCTAATACGTATGTATATCTCAGTCTGTGTCCATAGATCTAGCTATATTCTCACAAGACATCCGTTTTCTCAACATCTCTCAATAAGTCAGAGTACTTGTTTGAGGTCTGAGAGGCCCAGCGCCCTCTGACTTTTTCAAACAGACTCATTTGGGAGGTTCTCTTCCCAGGAGAAATTCGACTTTCCGACCCAAATATTCCAAAGCATTGCCCAGGCACAGCTGGTTTGAAGTGGCCAACATGTCTTGGGTTATTTTTCCATAAGTGCTTCATTGGGAAGGAGAGAGGGCATACTCCCCAACTTCCCAGAGGAAAGTGACATTTTTATATTTGCCAGGCATATGTTAACATGGTGGAATAAGTTCTGTAAGTCACGAACCTTATTAAGACTTTTTCATTAAGCTGGAAAATGAACACCCTGTTCTTTCACCTCCAAGTAACTTCCCCTCTTCTCTGTCCCACCACCTGCCCTGCTTGTGTATTGATTAGTCCTGGTGGTCATGATCATGAGGGTGTGGCTGGCTTGTGGCAGAGGGAAGGACACTGGACCAAGCCTGACCTGTTCCAAACTCATATGCCACCGGTTCCTGGGAAGACCAGAGAAGAAAGTGCAGAATGTTTCCCATTTGGAACGCACATCCCTCATTCACACCAGTAGGATGAGATCTGTCTTCCCTCTGTAAAGAAACTAACATTTATTCTCTGATTCTAAGTGGGCCTTGGAAGGATTAGCCCCAGTTGTCCGTTCCATCTGGTCTCCAGCCTAAGCATTTAAGCTTCTTCCATGGTCATCATACGTAAGGACTTCTCTCGGTCACCCCTCCTAGGGATGCTTTTTTGCTCCTGTCTCCTGCATCTTTCCTCGAAGGAAACCCCGCTCACCCAGGACCAGGACCCTACGGAGGGGTGTAAATGACCCGCCATGGCCAGAACCATCCGAGAATTCAGGGAGAGGGGCATCCGATTCACATTCCCACCCAGGAATGGGGTCTTCTGTGCTGCCAGGAGGGCTCCTGAGGGTTTACTTTTCAAAGCACAAACAGATCCCAGAAGAGCAGCTAGAGGGTGGTTCTGTTGGCTGCAGAGAAGGGCAGACCCCGGTCTGCTGAACTCACAGAGACAGGCTGGGCCCTTTAATGCCACCCCACCAAATGCCCTCTTCCCCTAAATGCCTTCGTGGTTGAGTTTGGGGCATTTACACGAACATCCTCGAGGATTGCTTTTTGCTCTCAAGACATTTCTAAGATCTTTAAAATTTTACTTCTTGTCTTGTTCTTCTAAAACTTTCTCCAGGGCACATATTTTCCCTATCTTAACCACTGACCCAATCACCCAAACACTTGGCCCTCTCTCCATCTCTCTCAAATTAGGTGCTGGGGTGGGATTTGTGTAGTAACACCTAATCCAGATCTGTCTTTGGCCTTTCACCCTTAATAGCAGAGTCTTCACCCTTTATATGTAAAGCTTCCTAAACCATAAAGAAGCCTTTCCACACCTCTGTCTTTACAGCTTTCTTTTGGGTACCATCTATCCTGGTGACCCTCTGCTACCAGGATTGAGTCAGGGACATCATGTGCTTTTAGTGGAGAATTTGGAGGCTGATTTACCACAGCTTAGACACGGAGGCACTAAAGAACTGGACTCTGGTCTGTTGGCATTTGTTTCCATCTTAGCAAGAGACCTAAAATTACAATCAGGACTTTTTCAGAACAGGTAGAATCCCAGAAGGCCTAAGCTATGCCAAGCCAAGGTTTCTAAACCTCGACACCGGACAGTTCGGAGCAGTTCCTTGTTATGCGGGACTATCCTGTGCATTGTAGGAAGTTTAACAGTATCCCTGGCCTCTTCCCCACCCTGCCTCAGCTGCCACAATCCAGAATGTCTCCAGACATTGCCTGGTATCCCACGGAGCACAGTACTGCCCCCCGTTGAGAAGCACGGCCCTAGGTCTTACAGGTCACCAATAGCATATTTGAGATTTTCTGGTTTCCCTCCATTTCACCCTTAGAAGTCTTGCTCTCCTGGGAGCCTTGTTTCAGGACATTGAGAGGCAGGTAGGAATATTACTCAAATGACATTGTGTCCAGGTCTCTTCCAGTTCAGAGCTTCTATTTCAGTGCAGAGTCTGTCTTGCTACAAAGTATCCCTTCCTTCATCCCTGGGGAAGTCGGGAGCAGCTGGTGGCCATCGGGCGGATAATCCACTTGCACCTCTATGTTAGGTGCATTTGGAATTTGATCTTCATGTTTTCGTGTACCAGCTTGAAAGGAAGTTCTGGCTATTTTCATGATTCCTCAGAAGCTTACGGGTCTCCTGATCGAAGCTGTCATCGTTTCAGTGAACTTCCTCTGGTCTTCTACTTTCTGCCCTACCTTCAGTGCCGTTGTTAGAATTTATGGAAGCCTTTGGAACACTTCTTTTCATCTTTAGGGATGTTGGAGAGAGGGACCAGTTCTGGAAGAGGGCTGATAGGTTTTTTGTTTTGTTTTTTTTTTAATTGAGCTACAAGAGGGCACAATCTACCGTCTTTCATTTAGCTATGAAGAGAAAGTTGGAGTGTCCCAGAGAAGTGACCTGAAAGTCACCAATCTGGGCATTAATGACAGAATAAGGATGAGGAGGCTCTGGGACCTTGTCACTTAATCCTTGGCCTCTCCTGGTGGAGGTTGTTCCTCTCCGGTGCCCGAGGCTACCTGATCCCTACAAAGGTGTGCACAAGCTCAGGTCAGAAGAGAGGGGGAAGATTAAGAACCCGGCCTCCCCCCTCAGCCAGATAGATAGCAGTATAGCATCACCATCCCCCCCCCCCCCCCCCCCCCCCCGCCCCATGCTGACGTTACTTCTCACATGGAGCCTCTGGTCCGCTTGGAGCTACGCGAGACACGCACAAGCAGATATGAAAGCTGATGAGCCTTTTTGCTTACCCTGAGGACAATTCACCTGCCCCAGACTCTGAGTCCAATTTCTTTTTGCCAAACATCCCAGCAGCAAAGTCCCACACTCAGACCAGCCAAAAAGCAGCCCCGGTTCCCGGCACTTGGTGTTACAGGTCCCCAGAGGACTTAAACCCAAGGCTTCTTTAGGTCTCGATACCGTAGCGGCTTTAGCAGTCTGTTTTTGTACAACCGTAAATTATTTGAATTGTATGAGATGACAGTCGATTTTACCAAACCAGGTACATACAATTTGTATAAGTTTGTATATGCTCTGTCTGGTACACCACACCTGTCCTAACGAAGGGTAGAACCAATTCTGTGCGTTGGTGTTCACACCTGTGACATTGAGAGGAAATGTCTGCATTGCTTCTTTCTTTCTGTTGCTGTTTCTGTGGCAAAGCCCTGCACATGTCATTTCTGAAAAGCCTTAAATCTTTGAGACGTTGCATGTAGGGTGCGCAGTGCAAAAGGCTGCCTCGGAACTGTGAGCCCTTTTGTAAGCTGGAAGCATTTCTCTTACTACTGTTATTACTTTTTTAGGGAGTTTTAAATTCAGAGCTGCCAAAGCGTTCCAGTAAGCAGTGCCTTAGTGATACCTAGTCATGCCGCCGGCCTTTTCTTACCCAATCCTCCACGCCCATTTACGAAATTGGCCCAGTATTTGAAACCACGCAGGCAAAAACCGTTCTCATTTCTCTTGCGTAAGCCCATTTTTCTCCGGTTCTATAAGAAACTGGCCACACTTGGTCTAAAATCGGAAGCCGAACA